GGGATAAGATTCATAAGATTCAATAGTGAGTAACTGTTATCATGACTAATTGCGACTGTCACACTTGTAAAGTGGAAGTTTTGTAACAAAAAAAAGGGGAGTGGTTAATCTTACAGTCCAGAAACAGAGGACCCTAGGACCATCAAGAGAGGACCTTAACCAGAGAAGCAGCAGCACCAGAGATGGAGGCAGAGATGGGGGCATGGAGAGGGGGAGTGGCTGAGGACTCTAGATTCATGGACTAAGAAGTGAAGGACTAAGAGCTAGTGGCCAGGAGCAGACTTGCAGAATGTGCCCTTTGGAGATGTAAATTATTATATATGCCTGAGTGGGTTTTTTTTGCTTGTGTGTTTTTTAAAAAGCTAAAGTGGATAGAGAGAAATACTGTTAACATGGTATATGGAGGGGATTATAATCAATGTAATGAAACAAGATATATGATTTGTTGAATGTAAAACTGATGATGTGCCCTGTAAACTTTCACTCAATCTACAATAAAAACCTTAAATTAAAAAAAAAAAAGAAACAATAGCTTCACAGTTTGATATTTTTGTTTAATAAAGGGCTTTATGATTTTTGTAGCAATACTTTTTTACTTTCACTCTGACAACATTTCCTTTTAAATTAACTTCACTGGTATAGCTCCATAAGGAAAAAACTCTAGCTTCTCTGTTCTCAGAACTCAATAGTTCAGATCATGATCAAAAAGTATTTTTTTAACATCCCACTGACTAAGAATTTTATAACAGTGTAAATTTCCGAGTTAACAAAGTGTATCATAACTTAATAAAATTACTAAGCTTGTCTTGCTTAAATTTCGAAACTGGAAGCAAGTAAGCCTCTTAGTGGGAAATGTGATGGCTCTATAAATAAGTCCACCAGCTGCTCCTTGGGAGAAAGATGAGGTTTTCTGTTCCCAAGAAGATTTAAAGCCTTGAAACTTAATACAGGGTCGCTATGAGTTGGAACTGACTCCATGGCACTTAACAACAAGAAGCCTCTTAAGAAGGTTCAAATGTATGAACACAGTTCTTAAGTGGTTTTAGTTGACCAGGCAAATTTGTTGCAGCAAAATTCTGTGAGTTACCGACTGGCTGCCAGCAACATGACCAGAGCTTTCCTTTCAGCGCCTTCACTTACAGTCCTGACTGCTCGTCGACCTGTGCTCCTCTCTGCACGAGAACTGGAATAGCTTCATAGTGCTTGTTCACAACAGCCACAGTAATAACAGGCCGGCCTTCATGATCACTGCAGTTGGGATCTGCCCCCTGTAGCATATGGAAAAGGAAAAGCACTCAACAGCCAATCACTAGCTTAGCATGTGTAACAGTGTTCTACAATGAATAGTTCAAGTTCTTATGGAGCTAAACTACTTTTATATCAAAGGATAAGAGAAACAGAAATCCTACATTGTTGTTAGTCGTTGTTGATCAGACACTGCCTCATGGGGACCTTATGTGGAACAGAATAAAACATTGTCCGTGCTACAAGAATTTGTCGGTATGTTCAAATCTAGAGTGTCAATTCATCTCACTGTAGATTAAATATACGTAGATTCATCTCACTGAAGATTCAATCAACGATGGACAGAGTTGCCAAAGCACCTGGGCTCCCAACACCAGGAGGCAGACATCCCTGGCAACCCTATTTCTTCAGGAACCCCAGGATGAAGGTCGCATGGGGTAACATGGGTCACAGACCAGAAATTCCACCCATCATCATACAAGTTACCTGGACCCACTTTTCTGCCTATTTTCTTTTCTATAAAAACTAGAACAGGTAATAATATAATGCTCTTGACTAGCTGCCACTCATTTAGTTCATCCTCAAACATTTCTAAAATTAAATGGCACTATGATTTTCACAACACTGATCAAAACTTCCACATGCAAGAGGCATAGGTGCAAGGCAGACCTGAAGATCCTCAGAGACTTGTTGGTTACACTCACTTCATCAAGCAGCTGCTCAATTACAGAGACTCTTCCTTCCCCTTCAGGTCCAACTTCCTTCAGCAGGTGTCTGTTTTCTGACTGCAGAGTGATAAAATGTGGTCATTTCCATAGTCCAAAATAGTTTTACAGTCATCTCACTTGCCCAGGGCAAACTTAACAGGTAAGTGTTTTCTCTCCAATGATAAAGCCACATACCCAGTTGTGTTTTTAGCCACAAGACAGGCAAACATGAGTGTGAGTATGGTTATGTGTGTGCATGTCTGTGGTCTTCAACACCCAGCAGCAATACCAGAAGTCCCTGGGTGATGCAGTTAATGTGCTGGGCTGCTAACCATAAGGCTGGAGTCCACTCAGAGGTACCATAGAAGAAAGACCTAGTAATCTACTTCCAAAACCTCAGCAACTGAAAGCCCTACAAAATGAGGGTAAGTAAAAAAGTATTACTACAAAAATATCAAACTGTGAAATGACTGTTCTTCAACATAGCCTCCATCAAGGTTAATACACTTCTGAAGGCAGTGTTTCCATTTCTCTAACCCTTCCCTGAAGAATTTGATATCATTTGGTTTGCACCATGTCAAAAGGGAAGTTTTGGCATTCTCGAGGGACTCAAATTGTGTTCCTTTGAAATGTCCTTTTGAATTCTGGGAACACAATAAAAGTCTCAAGGGAAAATACTAAGGCTGTTGGGCAGATGGAGTAAGGTTTCCCAACAAAATTCTCAAAGGCTATCCCTTTCTACTTTCAAAGAATAAGCAAGTGCATTATTGTGATGGGGGGGGGGGCGAAATGTTTTCTTCTTGGTGTAACTTCCCCGACTTTTTTCTTACTAATGCTGTTTTCCATTTCCTTAAAACTTCTTCCAAAGAAACCCCCATGATCACCCTGTGTCCTTCAAGAAAATCTCACAAGATTTCTTTGGGATCCAAACAAATACAAAGTTATGGATCACCATTAACCTTCTAAGCTAACTTCCCTGCCTTGAATTTAACTGGTCCAGCAGATCCTTTCAGAAGCTGCTAACAAGTACAAGGCTTTCTGCTCCCACAAACATTTACATCCCTGGAAATCCTATAGACGGTTGATATGAGTTGGTACTGACTCCACAGCACTTAGCAACAACATGACACACATGAGATTACCACAAGTCAGAGTCAACTCTGTAACAACTGGTAATGTAAATCTTGCTGGTCTCTAATGTCCTGACTTGAGGAAGGACAACACACTAACATTGTTTTAGTTATTAAGGACAGAGATGCAATGAGAAAGCCTATACTAGTTTTATTTGGAATTTTACAGGCATAGCTACTAGGTGAATCCTAAAATACTTTGTAAAGTGTTCAGTATCAGTTCTAGATATGACAGTTCACAAAATGTGTTCACCTGATGTGATACTTAAGGTTTGGTGTCAACTTAGCTGGGCCTAGGTTCTCAGTGGTGTAGCAGTTAAGACTTAATAACTGATAAGATGACAAGATTTAATAATGCAATTAACTCCCTCATGATGTGATCTGATGTAATTGTCCTCTTTTTGTTTTTGTTTTTACGTGCCTTTGAGTCACTTCCAACTCATAGAAACCCTGTATAGGGTTTCCGAGGAATGGCTGGTGAATTTGTACTGCCAACCTTTTGGTTCAAACCAACCTTAGGGTTTATCCCACAGTGCCACACCTCTACAAACCAATAAAGTTGACGTCTTGTTTAAAAAGGAAAGTTCAATTGAATCTATATTCATCTTTATATATATAGATTTTCAAAGTGCTGGTTACTGGAAGACTGAAAGAAGCAATCCAGAAATAAATCAGGAGACATTGCTTGTAGTATGTTTCTGCCACTGGATTCCAGCAATACATGTGGGGTGGTCAGGGAGCTACCAATGCCTTGTTTCTAAAGTAGAAATAATACATCATAGCTCTCTTGGCTCCCTAGGAAGCCATGTAGATGAGGACATCAGTTAAGGACTCTGAGCCTTTCACAAGAAGATGCCAGGTCTGGGCTGTGGTCCCCCTAGCGGGGTGCACAGTGTCTTAGAACAAGGTACTTTTATCATCAACCCACTAAGCAGTGTTTTATGTTAGGTGCCATCGAGTCGGAACTGACTCATAGCGACCCCATGCACAGCAGAACGAAACAATGTCTGATCCAGGCCAACCTCACTACCGCCGCCACACTTGACGCCATCAATGATGTCACCTGGCTGATCCATCTTGTTGGGGGTCTTCCTCTTTTTCTCTGACCCTCCACCTTACCCAGCATGACATCCTTCTCCAGCGAATGTTCTCTCCAGACAATGTGTCCAAAGTAGGAGAGACGAAGCCTAACCATCTTGGCCTCCAAGGAGCACTCTGGTTGCACTTCTTCCAAAACAGATCATTGGTTCTTTTGGCAGCCCCTATTTATGCTCAATTTCATTCCTTAAAGGGAAATGTATGACAGTGAACTAGAATATCAACCCTGTGAATTCTGAAACCTTTGTCTTTTTTATTAATGTTTATTTGTTAGAAACACAGAGAAAAAATCAATTTATTAAGCACTGTGGTAATTATCTGTCATTGTTTATAGCCAGTATAGGAGTATTGGTGTGGCACTGTGGGATAATGAACTGGACCGAAAGGTGGGTTTGAACAGCAATGTCGATGGTTCACACTCAGCAGCCGCGCCTCGGAAACCCTATACAGGGCCGTTATGAGCCAGAGCTGACTCACAGACATTTAACGACAATAATAACAACATGCATAATATAAGAACCCTATTTGGAAAAGTTTCTTGAAGCAATGTTTTCTAGACATGTGATATATAAGCCTTGCTCCTCAGCAGACTTTGAATATGCTTTATTGTTTAAAATCTAGATCATGTCTAGCATGCATTTACTCAAAAATGATCTTTGAATGACTAAACTAATGTTTTAGAGCTTTTGGTATTTATTGCCAAAATGCAAATGTTGTTGTTGAGGGTTGTTGAGTCAGTTCCAACTCATAGTGACTGTATAGAGGGTTTTCTGAGGCTATCAATCTATTTTTTTGTTGTTTTAAGTTTTTATTATGAGTTGAGTAAAAGTTTACAGGGCAGATAATCAGTCTTACATTCAACAAATCATACACCTTGTTTCATTACAATGATTATTCCATGTACCATCAGTTAACAGTATTTCTCTCTATTCATTTTAGTTTTTTTCTTTTTCTTTTTTTAACACTCAGACATATATAATAATTTACGCCACCAAAGGGCACATTCTTCAATTCTGCCTCCTGGCCACCAGCTCTCAGTCCCTCTCTTCCCATGAATCTAGAGTCCTCAGCTGCTCCCTCTCTCCATGTCCCTATCTCTGCTTCCATCTCTGGTGTCACTGCTTCTCTGGATAAGGTCCCACATTCTGCTTGTGCTCTTCTCCCTTCATGGTCTTAGGGTCCTCTGTTTATGGACTGTAAGATTAACTACTCCTAGTTTTAAAACTTCTACCTTTACAATTGTGACAGTCTCAGTTAGTCATGATAACAATTACTCACTATTGAATCATAAGAATCTTATCCCCATCTCTTTTTACCAGATCCATCTAGACAAGATGAATACTATTCAGTGGGGACTCTTTCTTCCCCACACACTCTTAAACTAAACTCCCTCTTGAAAACTTATAAGGCAGTCACTTCAAGCCTTTATCACCCCCTCATTTTAGGTAGCCAATGTCCAAATTGCCCATACCTATGAGGGGATGAAGCTGTAAATCTTTATAGCAGCAAAAACCCTTATCTTTCTCCCACATAGTAGCTGGTGGGCTCAAACCATCAACCACATGGTTTGCAGTCCACTGCTTATCCTATAGAGATACCACATTCCCATTGTTGTTGTTAGGTGTCATCAAGTCAGCTTTGGCTCAAATTCACCCTATGCACAACAGAATGATTTATGGCTCCTAACCATCCTCACAATCTTTTCTCTAATCATTGTTTGAGCCTGTTGTTGCTGCTACTGTGTCAATCCATCTCAATCCTCTTTTTGCTGATCCTCCACTTTTCCAAGCATGCTGCCTTCTTCAGGTATCTGACAACTTGTCCAAAATGTGAAAGATAAAACTTTGTGACCCTTGCTTCTAAAGATCATTCTGTCTATATTTCCTCCAACAGATTTGTTGTTTGCTCTTCTGGGAGTTTGTGGTACTTTCAATATTCTTTGCCAACACCACAAATCATTTTCATCGGTTCTCCTACAGTTTTCTTTATTCACTGCCCAACTTAAACATGCAGATGAAGTAACTGAAAGTACCATGGCTTGGATCAGGCACACCTTAGTCTTCAAACTGACATCTCTGTTCTTGAACACTTTAAAGAGGTCTTGTGCAGCAGACTTGCCTAATGCAAGTAATATATTGTTTGAGTCCCTGACTGCTGCTTTCGTAAGTATTGATTGTGGAGCCAAGCAAAATGAAGTCTTTAACATCTTCAATCCTTTCTCTATTAATCATGATGCTATTTACTGGTTCAGTTAGGAGATTGTTTTCTTTACATTGAGGTACAATCCATATTGAAGGCTGTGGTCTTTAAACTTAATCAGCAAGTATTTTAAGTCCTCTTCTCTTCCAGAAAGAAAGGTTGTATCTTTTGCATATCTCAGGTTGTTAATAAGTCTTCCTCAAATCCTGAGGACACATTCTCCTTCATACAATCCAGTTTCTCATACTATTTGCTCAGCATACAGATTAAATAAGTATGGTAAAAGAATTAAACCCTGATATACATCTTTCCTGATTTTAAACCATTCAGTATCCCCTTGTTGTGTTTTAACAACTGCCTCTTGGTCTGTGTACAGGTTCCTCATGAGCACAATTTAGTATTCTGGACTATCCATTCTTTGCAATGTTATCCATAGCTTGTCATGATCCACACGATCGGAAACATTTGCATTGTCAATTAAGTACAAGTAAACACCTTTCTGATATTCTCTGCTTTCAACCAAGACCCACTTGATGTTATCTCACATCCTCTTCTGCCTCTGGCTTAAATCTCTAACAGTGAACAGTTGACGTAGTGTTGCAGTCATTTTTTTAAATTATCTTCAGCAAAATTTTACTTGCATGTGATATT